CAAAACCAGAATCAGCCTCGAAGCTCATGGGAATATTTTCCACAATCAACTTTACATAAGTGGGTTTGACATTACCCTGATCATCTGAGATATTCGGGCTTATTTCACTCAGATTGAAAATGGACTCATTTTCCGACTGGTTGCCCGCATCAGACAAAAAATTTTGTGATGATTTTCCACACTGTGGGGCTAAATGTCCCTTTACCCCACATTTGTGACAATGACAGTTTTTAAACGCACAATCCTTTGCCACGTGATTACTTCGTCCACAAACTATGCACTTACTTTGAGACTGGAATTTGTTGTTTTTGCTTACGAACTTTTGACTTCCGCCCTGCTTCCAAGGTCCCCCGCTGCTACTGCTGTTGTTGGTACCACCGGTGAGAGGGCGGTGCATTTTGGGCAATGGTGCTTTCCTCTGGCGATGATAATTCATCCCCGCTTCGGTTTTGACCACGGCTCCCGGAGATTCTCTACTACAACGCTCTTTCATAGCTGATTCCTTGTTCAAAGCCAATCTGACCACTTTCTGGAGGGTAGTATCAGCATGAGAGGCATCCTCTTCGAATATGCGATCCAGAATCTTCTCATCATTAATGCCGATCACAAACACATCGCGCATCACAACTTCTAGTTCGGTTCGAAATCCGCACTTTGCAGCTAAACTTTTTATTCTGGCTTTCCCACTCGGAAACACTTTCATTCAACATCCGACGGGCCGAATAAAACTTGAGTCTTTCCGCAAAATAAGATTTAATCGGTGAAAAATGATCACTAAATATTTTTGTTAATTGCTCATATGATTTAGTTTCCGGCAGGTCCGCTACACACAAATTGCGTATCAATACGTAGCAATCTTCCGAAAGAGTGTTCAGCAAAATTGCCCTTTTCAACTCCCCTTCCGTGATTTTGTTCGCAATAAAAAACTGCTTGAGTCTTTCATTGAACACAGTAAAATCCGAGTCTTTTGGGTCGAAAGTTGTTAAAGATCCTAAAAGACCCGTTGCTACAGGTGTTGCCATTATTTCACCGATTCAAACAAGTGAATAACGTTTTTATAAACAAAAAAAACTTTGCACTACACTCCGAACTACTTTCACTTCAATTTCGTGAGTTCTTAATAAATCCTCGTCGCCAAATGTTATGTTTGAACCCAGTATCAATATGGATACGAATCTGAGGGCAAACATTCAAAAGAAAAATACTTCGATTCTGCGAACTGCTAATTTATTACTAAGGAATTAAATCCATATACAGCAAACACCGGGCAAGCATGCAAAAACGTTCGGGTTTTTTTACAGCTACAATAGTTCGATACATTTTATGAATAAACTCAAATATAAACCATTTCTATACATGAATCTTAGTATCTAACAGAATTGTTTAACTTCTTGAAACATTCTCGAACCTTCTGGTTCATTTTATTAATTTTTTTCCTGGAAGGTACCAACAAGTCCTTCGTGGTGATCAACCAGCAGAGTATCGACCCGATGAGCCTGGATATGCTGGCCAAAGAGGGTATTATAGCGTTGCACAGGGCTTGAAAGGCGCTCACGCCCTCTTTGGCGACTATGTCCAGACAACATTCTGAAGCATTTTAAGAGATTTTGAAACATCTTAAGCTTTCTCAACATCCTAAATTGTTGTCAAACCTTCTGGAAGATTTATTAAACGAACTAGAACATAATATCCATAGGGGTATTATTGTCCAAATGTTTTGACCAGACATTCACGCACTCCAATAAGTTTGTTGTAACTGACCGATTTGGAACAAAACCATGTTGTTGTTGCGGAATTATTTTGTGATATAACAGGAAAGTTTTTAATTCATCACTCATTATTGATTCCATGATTTTGGAAGCCACTGAAGTGAGACTTATAGGTCTGTAGTTGCTTGGGTCGAGCTTGTTACCCTTTTTGAATATTGGTGTTACAGATGCTAACTTCCAGCTATTTGGTAAGCAGCAGTTTTTGAATGAACGGTTCATAATTATACTTAGTGGATAGACTAGATTTTCGCTGCATCTCCTGTTTCTAAAAAGATGCAGCGAAAATCTAGTCTATCCACTAAGTATAATTATGAACCGTTCATTCAAAAACTGCTGCATACCAAATAGCTGGAAGTTAGCATCTGTAACACCAATATTCAAAAAGGGTAACAAGCTCGACCCAACTACAGACCTATAAGTCTCACTTCAGTGGCTTGCAAAATCATGGAATCAATAATAAGTGATGAATTAAAAACTTTCCTGTTATATCACAAAATAATTCCGCAACAACAACATGGTTTTGTTCCAAATCGGTCAGTTACAACAAACTTATTGGAGTGCGTGAATGTCTGGTCAAAACATTTGGACAATAATACCCCTATGGATATTATTTATCTAGACTTTTCTAAAGCATTTGACCGTATCCCTAGAAAAAGACTTGTGTGTAAATTAGAACATTTTGGTGTACGCGGGCTAGGGGTGGGCGATAATGATTTTGAAATATCGATTATCGATATTCATAATATATCGATATTATCGATATTATCGATATTATCGATATTATCGATATTATCGATATTATCGATATTATCGATATTATCGATGTTATCGATGTTATCGATGTTATCGATGTTATCGATGTTATCGATGTTATCGATGTTATCGATGTTATCGATGTTATCGATGTTATCGATATTATCGATGTTATCGATATTATCGATAAATCGATAATTCTTCTCCAAATTATTATCGATAATTATCGATTTATCGATAATTTTTCCGACCTCTAGTCGTGACAAGGGTATTTTTATATAACTAATTTTTTATAGTTACTTTCTGGTTTCTAGGTAGGTATAATAAACAAAGCTATTTTGTCGTTATGTTATTTTTCAAGAAATGAGCGATCGAATGATTAAATAAAAATATTCCATATAATTAGATAACTCATCTTACTTGATACTTGTTACTCGTTCAACACATAACTAACCAAAAAGTTTGCCACCACAACTAGTAAGGGTTGCCACGTTGCCAGATGTCAGATAGCTTCATGCTGGAGTCCTATGTTGTTTGAACAAGGCTAATGTACAGGATGGCGTGTCTTATTATATTTTCATTCTTACCTCGATTCTTACCAACAGGTATCTGTTTTATACAGGGTGTTCCATATAAAAAACAAAAATACCTATCTTTCTGATGCTCATTCATTTTGATAATTTTGATATTATCGGTTATATCGATAATTTCGATAATTTCGATATCATCATAATATTGATGATTTCGATAATATCGATAATATCGATAATTTCGATTATTTCAATTATATCGATAATATTTCGATAATATCGATTATTTCGATAATATCGATAATATCGATAATATCGATAATATCGATAATATCGATAAATCGATAATTTTTTTCCAAATTATTATCGATAATTTTTCCCACCCTTAACGCGGGCTACTACTGACGTGGATCCAGAATTTTCTAGAGAACAGATATTTTTGTGTTCGGATAGATGATTGCTTCTCTGACCAATATCCTGTATTGAGTGGAGTTCCCCAAGGATCTGTACTTGGTCCTCTGTTGTTTTTGTGCTACACATCAGATTTATCACATATTTTTAAGTCAACCTGTTCTTTTTACGCTGATGACACAAAACTTTACAACAACACAAAATCACAACATATATTGCAAAATGACTTGATTGCCTTATACAACTGGAGTTGTGAGTGGTTACTACCACTGAATATTGATAAATGTGTTGTACTTCACCTTGGTAAAAATAATCCTAGACAAAATTATACCATCAATGATGTGCGATTAGTTAAGGTTGAATGCCACAATGATCTTGGAGTTACCATAACCAGCAATTTAACGTGGTCACAACATATTTCAAACATATGCAAACGAGCGAATACAAAATTGTACCTCTTGAAAAAAGTTTTTCCGAAAACGTCACCTGAAACGTTCACTAACCTCTACAAAGTTTATGTTAGGCCAATCCTAGAATATGGAGGACAAGTGTGGAGCCCGGAGTTGATCAGAGATCGTAACATGTTGGAATCTGTGCAACAACGAGCAACCCGAATGTCCTTCGGTCTCAGAAGACCATCATACCATGAACGTTTGAATCAGTTAAGCCTGACAACATTCGAAGATCGAAGACATCATGGAGACTTGATCCAAACTTATCGGATTCTTCATGGATTTCTACCCTCACTGAGTGATATGTTCCAGATAAACGATGATACACGATTAAGAGGACATAATTTTAAACTTAAGAAGGAACATTTCAGGTCGTCAAATCGGCAAAACTTCATAGTAAATCGTGTTTTCTCGGCATGGAACAACCTGGATACAGACATAGTTAATGCACCCTCAGTATCATCATTCAAAAGTCGATTAGTTCGTATTACTGAGTAAATTGTTTTTGTTTTTTTCAGTTTGCATCGCATTATATCTGTCTATTTTATTTCGAAATGTTCAATTTCTATTCAACATCTTTAATTGTTTTTTCAATTCTATTTTTAATCTAATTGTTTGTCTAGTAGCTATTTACATATATATATAATATTTCTTTATGTGTACCATACAACTATGTCATGTATAAATGGGCTTTTATAGGTTCACACCTCAGCCCATTATCACTTTTTAATAATAATAATAATAATAATTCTCGAATATTCCCAAACTTACTAGAGAATTCTAGAACATCCTGATGCATTTGAATGTATGTTGGAAGATTGTGAAACATTTATGAGAGATTCTGGAACATTCTTGGGTATTTTAGAAATCTATTTCAATATATTGTAAACCTTCAAAAGATTATAGATTGTCCTGAAACGTTCAAGAGCATTGTGGAAGGTTTCATTACATTCCTAGAACATTCTACTGCATTATGAGTAATTTTAAAACATCATACAGCATTCTTGAACATTCTAAATGATTGTGTAACTTCTTAAAACATTCTCGAACCTTATGGTTCATTTTATCTTTTTTTTTTCTCGAAGGTACCAACAAGTCTTTCGTGGTGATCAACCAGAAGGGCATCGACCCGATGAGCCTGGACATGCTGGCCAAAGAGGGCATCATCGCGTTGCGCAGGGCTAAAAGGCGCAACATGGAGCGTCTCGCTTTGGCGTGCGGCGGCGTGGCTATGAACAGCCTCGACGACCTGCACGAGTCGCAGCTGGGGTATGCCGGACACGTATACGAGCACGTCTTGGGTGAGTTATCGGACGATGTAGAGAGTGCGCATGTTGGTAGTTCATGCAATAGAAAATTATAGTGATAGACTAGTAAACAACAATATTTTGGAGCAACTGGTAGTATACATACAAAAGTAATATGAAATATATGATGGCGATTTGCTGAATCCCATGATTTTAAATTTCTCATGAAAAATTCGCTTAGATGATTTCTTGAATTTCAACCTCTAAAAATATTTGCAGTTGGCAGGCCTTGTTTTTTTGAAGAAAATGAAAAAAATCTTCCCTAATGTAGGATTTTATTAGGTATACCCTTAAGTTTGTAATCGATCTCCTTGAGTTTATATTTGAATTTCCCGCCGATCATATTGTCGTTTGTTTGACGGTTGACAGGGACACTTGTCACGCTTTAGTTTTGTAGGGAAAAGCATGAAATAAGGAGGGAATGGAGAGAGAAGTCTTTTACGGTCATGTTATGGATTATGTTGACAAAATAAATGAAATGAAGTTATGTGCCCGCAAATGTTCATTTTAATAATTATTGGCCTCAGACCACCTATACTAAGTAGTTTTTCAATCTCCACAATTGAAACTAAATTCTTCGAAATCAGTGAACTAAATATTACAAATTTAATTGAAGTGTCCCGTTCTCATATGAGTCATACTATAACATGATACTAAAACCAAGAGAAAATATGATCACTTGGCGTACGCGTTTTGAACAGCTTCGCGCATGACGTCACTAAGAGACAAATATTCTCGGCGGCGGTCAGTAAATCGTATCTTTATGAGCAATTTATTCAAATCATTGATGAAATTGTTATGATTGGATTACGATGGATCTATTATTCGTGGATTAGGTTTCTTAGTATTATATTTGTGATGAATCAAATAATATAGAATGAGAAAATAAACAATATACAACTCTTTATTTCACTGGATGTCATTATTAATAAGGACACTGTTCATAATTTCATGTAAGTATTGTTCAAAGAAGAAAGGGAATGATACCTACTTACTGGAAAGTATTTGTTTTTAGAAGAATTCCATTCAAAAGATCAATAAGAATGCATCTCTGAAGTCAATTTTCATAATTTCTTTTCTTCAATTCAATTTTCATAATATTTTGAATCAACAATTCAATAAAATTAATCATTATTATGTAAAACATGATTTTCTGGGGAAAGCTCAAATAAAACAATTCAATAAACTCAAGAATATTTTTTATTTAACTACTTTGGTCATTTTACGTTTTCGAATGTTGGATGTTTCTTTAATATGTTTGTTTAGGATTTTTATTTTGGAATACATTTTACCTTCAAAAAATGTTTGCATCATCACTCAAATCAATAGTATCGGCTAATTTAGACACATTCTTTAGGTAGTTTTTCTCAATTTATGCTCCATTATATTGGTTGAATAATTGGTCTGGCTTGTTGCATTTTGTTGAGAATTTAAAGGTAGGCTTTTGTAATCCACCTTCAGTCGAATGATTCGTCCATGAAAAAGAAGTATCGTTACAATCTGGAATGAACCCTACTTTTTCTTTTTTTCTCAACTTGAATATGCAATGAAGCCAGCCAAATTTTCCAGACCATTCCAGCTTAACTCATCCATATTTTCATCTATGATAGCATCCATTGCAAATTTCTTTCGATGTTGGAAAAGTGAAGAATCGGTAACTGGTAGAGTTTTTGCTCTTTTTATTTTTGTTACTCGAACAACCCACCACAGCATAATTAAACCACCGTTTCTATAAAAAAAAACAACCAAACTGATGAAAAAAAACCACAAACATTGCGTTCTTGAAGCGCGCCAGCCGAAATTTGTCACGTGGTGACGTATGCGGTGCGAGAGAGACAGGAAATGAATATGCGCGTGAGTTTACCTTCTTTGGTTTTAGTATCATGTACTATAATATAATGAGTTAGGCAAATCAGTGTCAGGTCGATTTATTGTACCACACTTTCACTTGAAGAAGCTACTGTGTCAGTGAAACTTGTATTATTATTGGGAATATTGTGGACATTTTTTGTTTGTGAAGTTTTTGACTTCATTTTTCTTGATCATAAATATTTCTTCAACTGAACTATTCATCACCTAGCTCTGTGTACCATTCCAGGAGAAAACAAGTACACTTTCGTGGAGGAGTGCAAAGTCCCTCAGTCCGTCACCATTCTGATGAAGGGCCCTAACAAGTACACTCTGGTGCAAATCAAGGACGCGATCAGAGACGGCTTGAGGGCAATCAATAATGCCATTGAAGATAAGGCAGTTATCCCAGGTAATGAATTTTCATTGACACATGAATGTTTTTTTCACAACCGACTCTTAAACAAAAAATGCTAGTGTTCAGTTTTACTCCGAATTTAATTGAACTCGCGTAAACCACGTGATTGATTTTGAGAAGTCGATTTCGTATGCACAGTAAGTTTATCATAACTAAATCGGACTTGGATAATTCAAAACATACCATGAAACAAAACTGCAGATATACAAAAACACTCGAAATTACTTAAAAAAATTGTGTCTTGTTGAAAAATACCCCCTTTTAACATCTACCTCCGATTTTTTATCGCTCAGAGCGCACGAAAGGTAATCCCTGTAATGTTCGAAAAACATCGTGCGTTCCTAGGGAGATTCAGTCTTAGAACCAGTTTCATTTTTAATTAAAATATTAATTATATATTAATTATACTATAATTTGAGGATAATTTGCAATAGGCTAGGATTGCAGTCTTATTATGGTGTAATTATTAGTTTTGTGATTGATATTTAGCTAGCAGAACCCACGTTTTTTTGCAGAAATCGAAGAGCAATTAATTCGGCAAGCAGGTAATAAATTAACCTTAGATGGACCTGTTTCAGTGAAAAATTTTATTGCATTATTTCTAAGTACTAACACTAACTAGTTCACTGTCGCCAACCGGTTTTTCCTCAGAGCTCTATAACTTTTTAAAATGATAATTGAAACTCACGTGGAAAACGCGTGACATAACAATTTTCTAAGTGCAAGAATATTTCTGATTGTCATTTCAATCAGAATATGGAATTAATCTTCTGGATTGAATACTTACTGCAGATAACAGATAACACAACACACAACTAAAGAATCAGATCATTATTATCTTTGAATATTCGCATCTTGACAAGATGAAACAAGGATATTCGACGCTGAAGGTGACAGTTAATATTACCGTTAGGTTGATAATGTAGTTTGTCTTCTTCTTTTTTTGTATTTCTGGGAACTTAAGCACTACACTGTTGCCCGTACCACAAAATGATTTGAGATTAAATGAAACCTCAATCATTATTAGGAATCATGAAAATCATCCATATCCCAAAGTGGTCCAAAGTAATTTCAAAGAAGAACAAATAGTTCAAATTCGGTCAACCACACTGTATATTAAACAATCAGTTGATACATGTTACCGGTTTCGGCGCAACGGCCATCATCAGACATAAAAGTACCAAAATATAAAGTTTTAGGTAGCTACTATTGTAACGAATATGGGTTTGCACAATGAAGTTCAGTACAGAGAACACTACCAAGGAGTATATCTATATTCTTCCTAAATTTGACAATCTAAAATAGAGATAGTCTTAATACATGATGCTGACTACAATAACATAGAATGAGTAACTTACCTAACACCAGGTCCAATTGCGTTACGCAGATAGTATCGCACGAATCTGTATATCAATCACACCACTAGGCTGTTAAATATATCTTATGAAAGAGAATATGATTTTTGAAAACAATTTCATGTAGCCTTAAATAACGTCTACCATAACAACAATCTGGAAATCTGGACAGGATGTTCATTTATTCTATTGATAGACCGTTTGTTCTAGTATTCTGCTACACTATGGCAAAACAAACATGTTATGAGCTAAGCAATTTGTCAACGGGCCATCGGATTCGAGTACATGTACAGGGTGATTAACCATAAATTTCCCCCCCTTTAGCTCACTTATTATTGAACCGATTTGAAAATTTGAAAAATCATCTAAAATGATTTTTCAGAATTTTTTTTCCATTGCATCAGAAAATACAGGGTGCTCGGGCCAAACGATCTACAGAGTACTACTTAATTTTTTCAAATGGAACACCCTGTATTTCATTGTATTTTTATATTCTCCCTGAAGAGCTGATTTCATGAATGCATCACACTTGGGGTCTAGCGGGAACAATTACAGAGATATGGGGATTTGAAAGGTTATCAGTCAATTACATTCATGATATTGTAGCATGTAAATTTTCATTACTGTATATTTTGTCTGATTCTATAATATTCTGTAATGCTGAGCACATCTGACAGGATATTTTGTCACAATAACATGGTTAACATTTTTCAATAACATAAATTGAACTCAATCTGCTTCATATTATTTAATTATTCTCAAACCTGATATGTGGATACACACCTGAGATTTCACACTGTACATAAAATAAAAATACAATTTCTATAAATACACTGATATCTCTTGCTATATCTGTTTTGTTGTGATCCAAGTAGAAGGATGATTCGGATGGTTTTTACAGAAACTTATCTGAAAGAGATAAATAATATAAAGTAATATGAAATACCATTTCAGAGACATTCTCATACTCACTTTTCACACTGCTATTTCCACTTGAAACTTCATCACAGTAGGACAATAGGTATTGGATTTTCCAGGAACGCTGATGTGGATGGTTTCACTAGGAATCGACCATGGTGAATCAATTAACTTCGCTTGGCATTATTTTCTTGATTGATGCATTTGATAAGTTCAGGTTGATGTTTTGATCTTGTTGAGTTGATCTGTTATTTCGCTTTACGTCAATTAGCTGTCGGTCATGACACCATGTCAACAGTGTCAAACTTGTCATGCGCCAAACGCCGATTCAGATTGATATGTCCTTAGATCATCATCGTCGAACCAACAAGCCGAGTATGCGTGAAGAAAGGTGTGACGTCATTTTGGTCATCAATTCTGATTGGTTCAGATAGACATCTGGGAAGAATCAAGTCTCTGGAGGGAGTAGCGATAACGTCTTTTATTTTGGATATTCAAATTTTCCGCCAATTTGAAAAGCGGAAACTGTTAGGTTGTTCTCGAAGTTTCTGGAAATTTGGAGAAGGGATTTCCTTTTCTGGTCGTGAGACAAGAGCTCACTTCAGAAAATTCTTCGTGGTGGTCAAGTGCCATTTTTGTGGTGTGAACCGGCTTCTGAAGTCCTGTACCGCCTGGCGTTCTGGATCACATCAGGATATCCTGGATTTGCTGCTGATCTACAAGGACTGCTGGACTCTACAGATTTTTCTGGTTTTGGTTTAAGAGGCAGGATCTTCATGGTTCATCACCCAGGCAGCCACGTGCCTACCTGCATCGTCATTACGGCCATTTCAATCCCGAACCCTTCATAGAAGGTGAGTCTCGCTTTATTTCCACGATTTTTCTCTCTGCAGTCCAGAAATTCAGAACCTCATTTTCATGAAATATTTAAGGGTTTTTTCTACCGGGAGTTTTTTGTACCGGAAGTTCTACAACGGGAGTTATCCTACCAGGAGCACTATTCTTCCCAGGAGTCATTGCTCGACCAGGATCTGTTTATTCTACAAGGCCTTTGGTGGCTATATAGTAATCTGGAATCTGGATATCGTCCCCTGTTTGTTCCTGACATGATGGATTTTCAAGGTGGAAATACGACAACTCTGTCAATGTCATCTGACATCCAGGGATGTGAAGTCAGCACCCCGCTCTCCGCCAATCTTCCCCTCAGAAGCTTCATTTGGTGGCACTGAAGCCATTTTTATCAAGGATAACTGGTGTAGGACACACCATACAGGTTTTTGACATAAAAATATATTTTTATTTTTCATTTTTATTCACTCATAATGCCTATTGCTAGTGTGTATAATGGACCATTTTTAAATCATAGCTAGGTCAAAAATTGATGAAATCACACATGAAAGGTACATACTTCCCCTCCACATAGTATACTATGCGCTGGTAGAATTCTTCCATTTTCAATATTTTTTTAAATCTGCTATGAATATAAAACGTCCTTACAGGAGCTCTTGATTTTTCAAGTACAATATAAAGTTGATTTATATATATTTTCATCCACATAGTAGCAGGCAACAGTTAGTTTCTTAACAGGAAATAGGTATCTAATATTTTTTTGATTATGCATATTTGTCAAAACCTGTGATGTGATATATGAGTCCTATCATCATAATTAAATGTTTTGGGTATTGTATATGACTGTTTTATTTGTTTATTGACATGACACTCCAACTCACAACATCTCTATAAGGTAAATTTAGGTCTTTCAGTCTGGGATAACAACTAATATTATTCATTATCTGGTTGCTCAACTTTCCAGGTAACTTTTCTTTTGAATTAAAAGTTGCAGTGGCGCCCCATCTTTTTTGTTTAACCTTATGATTGCTAGATAACTGAAATTTTGCTATTTTAACTCATTTTGATAACTCGAACCCATAGTGCCTACTGACGAAGAGCTGCCGTTCGCAAATGCACCTATTTTTCATAAAAGTAGGGCTGCAAAGATGACGTCCGAACGTGGGGGCCCGAGTTTTTAGTTAGGTATTAGTAATCAACAGTTGTGAGTGTCTTGTTGATGAATGAATAAAATGTTTATGGTTTGGAGACAGCTGATATAGTTTGACGGAGAGCCAGGAGAGTTGTTTTTACCACATTTTGTTTTGGTAGGTAAAAAATATATGGGTTTTTATGAACTGATTTATGGTGAGTTTCTGTGAGATTCTGTTTACAAAAGAGCAACCTCTAGAATAAATCGTATCAGTTTTCGCATCAACAGAATTAAATTAGAGCGGGCAGATTTAAATTATAGGGATGTATTGAATTTCAAGAATGAAGCTTATGCTACAGCCCTGCAATTTGATGCTGAATTAAATGAGAATGTTCAGGATGATGATGTTAATGTCACTATTTTAACACCACAAGCTAGTGCTTCTACTACTGCTAACACCTTTAGTAATACAATTGTGAATTCTCATAAGTCAGTTCCTGTCTATAAATTGAATATTCAATTTGATGGTGAACCAAAAAATATCCTTTCATTTATTGAACGCATAGAAGAAGTAGCTCAGGCAAGGCATGTTAGTAAAGCTGAACTTTTTGAATCTGCTAGTGACTTATTCAGTGGTAAGGCTACATTTTGGTTTAGACAGATCAGGACACAAGTTAATAGTTGGGAAACTTTGGTCATAAAATTGAAAAAGGATTTTTTGATGTCAGACTTTGATGATG